GAGCTGCCTTCTGTTGGCTCCTGCATGTCATTAACCCCTGCCGTAGACTTGTGTCAGACGGGATTCTGTTGATGGCAATTTGTTGAAAATCGCAAGCCTCAGGATCACTTAGGCTCCTCTCACAAATAACAGTAGCGTTTACCGCGATGAACTTAACCGCGCAAACGTTAACATATGTGCGGATTCTGCACGATTGCAGCTATTACTATAGCCGAAACATGCGAAATCCGCCCATAAAATCGTACCACGCGGACGCTGCAATAGTCTGAACAATGCACATTGCAATGTATTGTTTTTTTATGTTTAGCGTGGTTCCGCGTGTATTCGGCCGAACCGCTCGTGTGTGATTGGAGCCAAAGGCAAATCCCATCATGCCTCACACCTCTGAGAGTCATGGTCATGCCTGTGGCTGGCAAAGTCCTGCAATGCCTCATAAGACTTGTAGTTACACAACAGCTATACTGTAGTGGGAAGATTGCCTAACCTTTCCAGTCTGATTGCACAATCTTTTTTATAGCTACCATCTGCTATATAGTATGAGGGCATGACTGATACACATGGATGGGATTGTTTATGTTTGTTCTCAATATTATACACTTTCACAGCAGCTGCCTGTTGATGTTGCCAATCTCTGGTCTAATGCATAATTAACCCCTTCATGACTGAGGCCCTTTTTTCCATTTTTGCACCCATGTTATATTCCACATTTTAGGCCTGAAACAGACCATAATAATCTATTGCTCTCATAACGGTGATGACATCATAATCAGTCTTTAGGGCAGGTTCACACCATTTTCTGGACCAGATCTGGTCCGGAAAATGGTGTGAAGCTGCCCGCAATTCCAGTACATTCCAGACCAGACAAAATGAGACAAACAGTATTTTCAGGTCTGGTCTGGAACAGACTGCTGGCGTGAACAGAGGCCAGAAATAGCATAGGGATACAGAAGGGTGCATTTTGGGTCCGGAAACAATCTGGTCTGGAGATGATCTGGATGTGGTGTGAATGGACCCTTAGGCCTCGCTCACGCCAGATGCAGTGCGTTCCGGCCTCATTCTGGCCAGAACGCACTGCCTCGCATTTGTTGTGGGGCAGGACCGGACTATTTTGTTCGGACCGGACCAGGCGGCAGACATAATTCACTTCACTCCCCCTCCTGCCCCACAAACTAGTGAGCCGGCCGCAATGCGAGGCAGTGCGTTCCGGCCAGAATCGGAAAAGATAAAGTCTGCTGGATCCGGAATTTTAAAGATTTAACTGGGAATAGGAACAATCTTCAAGTATAGAAGTATGGAAATAAACGGGGTGTTAACTTCCCAGCAAACAAAGTCAGCAAAACAATTCATTGACCTCAGTAAGCGTGGCAAATACCCACCAGAAACATGTCCTGTGCCGGGGAAGGAAAAGCAGAAGCCTCAGCTTGTGCAATAGATGAATCCTCTTTTACTGTCTAGTGAACAAATAAATATTGTAAAGACGACACGGAGAGCACTAACAGGTCAGACTGCAGTCTCTGTTTTATAGTATAACAAGCCAAGTAGCAGATCAGATGGAGAGATAAGATTAGGCTTAGATTGTTAGCACAACTCCAACTGGGTTCCATGTATAAAAAGGGTACAAAGAACGGCTGAGCAATAAAGCTCAGCACAGAACCTGCTGGGGCCACGCTGATCACGCCGATCTCTCCAAAGTGTGGAGTTTGGAAACCAAGTGCATGTCGGAATATATCCAACTTCTTATTTAGACAGACAAGTGACAGTCGTCCCAGTGACAAGTGACAGTTGAAGACGAAACATCTTAAAACACAACGAGTCCAGCTGAATGGGACAAATTGACGACCGTTTTCGATCACAGTGACGAAAAGAACATAAAATGATCCGAATGGAATTTTTTTTCAGGAACTAATGAAACTCTAACAGTGATTGTGGTTTTTGTTCGAGAAACTCCATTCGTTCCACGATACAATGTTCAAATCAAACAACATTTTAACAACATTGTATTAGTCTCTGATGGCATTATCAGATGAGATTTTTCACATCAACATTCATATTATAACAGGACTGTGACTTGTGTGATACGGACAAAAGGGCCCCAGGACCCTCAGCCGGAGGGGCCGAGAGGCTTCAGGAGGTAAGTATCTCCATTCACACACGAGCGGTTTTCCGTGCGTATTCGTACGGCGGAACCGCGCTCAACTTAAAAAACAATGCATTGCAATGTGCATTGTTCAGACTATTGTGGTGGCTGCACGGTACGAAAACACGCGTCGCACAAAAAAAGTCCAAGAGAGATTTTTTGGGGCGGATTGCGCATGTTCAAGCTATAGTAATAGCAGCAAATGTGCGGAATCCACGCAAATGTTAATGTTTACGCGGTTTTGTTCAGTGCGGTTTTCAGTGCGAAAAACGGCGCAGAAAATACAACAGCTATGTGTGAATGGCTCCTTACAGGGAAAGAACTAGCTTTGCAGATTATCCAGATTCTGCACGGGATCCTGGAACCTGGAGATTTCTAAGAGACTTGGGAAGGATGAATTCTCCACTCCTGGGTCCATGGTCTTGTAATGACCAGCACCTGTTGATTGCACAGCCCTAAGGGCAGGTTCACACTATTTTCGGAACCAGATGTGGTCCGGAAAATGGTGTGAACCTGCCCACAGTTCTAGTGCATTCCAGACCAGACAAAAATGACATGCAGTTTTTTTTTTTTCTTGGTCTGGAACAGACTGCGCTGGTGTGAACAGAGGCCAGAAATAGCATAGGAATACATTAGGATGCACTTTAGGTCTGGAAACAATCTGGTCTGGAGATGATCTGGATGTGGTGTGAATCAGCACCCTATGGTAAGGGTGCTGGCCAGGGTTCAGGGCTCCACCTAGGAGACATGGAAGGTTTCCGGTCAGGGGGGCTCCAGCCAGGAGTCAGAATGGAGTCAGGTGTGCATGCAGAAGGTGCACGAGAGACAGCCAGGGAGTGTCATTGAGGCAGAGGACACCCAGCTAGAGTTCAGGATAGCACAGGCTTGAGACTGGAGGACACAGACAGAGGACTGAGGCTGGAGCAGCAGGACACTGCGATAGTAGAGGCCGCTCCTATAGCTCATGGACAACTGTACTACACAATGAATACATCACCCATATCATCATGTTGTGTATGGACTGCACTCATATGTACTTAGTACAGTACATCACTATATAAATAATGTATAGTCATGACACAGCAACCTGAAGCCCTGAAACGCAACACCAACATAAATCATATATATATATCCGGGCCAATCGACTGCCACTGCGGACCGCTACGCACACACGCGCGCTCCATAATACAGCGCCGGGATCTCGTATACCAATAACTGGATAATAACACAGCCGCCTATTACAGGTAAAGTCCACTTCAAAGAAAGAAAAAAATAATAATGCAAACAATAATAATAATACAATTCTTCTTGTATTATTTTTCTGCAAGGGAGCCAGTAAATCAGAGGTGGGCAACTCTGGCCCTCCAGTTGTGGTGGAACTACAAGTCGCATGAGGCACTGCAATACCCAGGCATGACTCCCAGAAGCATGTTGGGATTTGTAGTACAAGCACAGCTGGAGGGCCCACCCCTGGAGTAAAGATTTGTAACCCTGATCAGTAGATAGCGGGCGCAATGCTCTGGCACCTGCAGATTCTCCCCCCTGTCCATTCAGTAGCATGGACGTGAGGACAAATGAATAGACAACAAGTGCGGTGGACAATAATGAATGGACAACAAGTGCAGTGACAACCCTCTGCTGTGGTGGCTGATGGGATTTTTAGTTTTACCAATCATAGATCCCGTCAAAGAATTTGCAAATGGATGATGTGACTGTATTGGCCGAGCCACGCTGACATCAAACAGCAGCCTGCAGGGAGAAGAACCCCGCGATTCAGGTAATGGGGTGGGGGCGCTGTGACCATGTTATACCCTAAATATGAGTGTACAATGAAACAAGGTCACAATGGTAAACTCAGCCTTTAACCCTTTCCCTACAAAGCACTTTTGTTTGCACACATGATATAATCCACATTTTAGGCCTGAAAATTACTTCAAACCCCCAAAACATTATATATGTTCTGAAAGCCAACACCCTAAAGAATACAATGGTGGCAACTGCAAATGTTTATGTTGCATGATAACCGCGCAACTCTTTATCAAACCACAAAATGTTGTAAAAATTCACTTAAGTTCATTTTATTGCCCTAAAAACACAATAAAATACCATTGTTTTTATAACACATAAAAGATGAGGTTACAACGAGTAACTAGATACCCAACATGCCCAGCTTAAAAATTGTGTGCGTCCGGGAAACAGACAAAATTCAGTACCCCAAAAAGTCCATTGACGACACTTTAAAAGTCCCCCATGTGATAGCATATTGGCAGTGACAGGTCCTCTTTAAGGTGATGCTGGGGGTCCAAAAGACCCCTAGTGTCACCTTTACACTCCAAATAAGCTATTGAATTGCAGATCGCAGGAGTCCAGCAATGACAGCTCAGTGACTGGAAGTGACCTAATACGTGTCGCTCCTGGTCCCATAAAATGGGGAGGAGATCGGTGAATGGAATAGCGACCTCTATACAAGACCCCCCGACACATAGCGACCTCTATACAAGACCCCCCCGACACATAGCGACTTCTATACAAGACCCCCCGACACATAGCGACTTCTATGCAACAGCAACCTCTATATAAGAGCCCCTGAAACATAGTGACCTTTATATAAGACCCCCTGACACATAGTGACCTCTATATAAGACCCCCTGACAGCTCCGTGCATACAGGTTCCAGTGTCTCCTAAGTTAGGTGACACCGCGGATGTTTCTGTACACAATCACTGTCCCTCTCTCAGTGTGACACAAACTCCAGCGGAAAGTCCCCGTTTCGCCCAGCCCCCCACCACCACCACCCGGGGTCACACATTCCCCCGCCTCACCCCCGCACCGGTCACCCCAGGTCTCTCCGCTCTGCGGGTTACCTGTGTCCGGGGCAGTGTGGCCGCCATGCTGCTTCCGGCCCGATCCGCCCATCATACACTCAACCAGGGACGAGAGGGCCGTTGGGCGGGGCTGGGGCGGGCCGAGGAGCGAGGAGGCGGAGCCAGACACATGAAGTCGTAGAGGGAGGGATGTGAGGGTGCCTGAGGTGAAGCTGAGGGGACTCGGAGTGTCAGTGGCGGTGTCATGACATTCTCCCTCACAAATACTTCGCATAGTTTCACAATAAAAGTACAAAGTGAAAGAAAAAGTGTGTGAAAGAAAAACTGTGGATGAGAGGGCCCCGCCGCCCCGGTAGTGATTCATTCAGAGGTGTACAAGGTAAATGTGGCGTTGGGGGAATACGTCCGTTTTTTCGCAAGTACTGGCGAATAACTGCGCACAGCCACTAATGTGTATGGGCCACAGTACAAACCAGTGGTGTATCCCTTCATAAAATCCTATGTTTACACCGTACGCCCCCTAATCCGTCCCTGTGTATGAGCCCTTGGGGGTGGGCAACTCTGGCCCTCCAGCTGTTGTGGCACTACAAGTCCCATGAGGCATTGCAAGATTCTCACAGGCATGACTCCCAGAGGTAGATGCATGCTGGGATTTGTAGTTAAATTACAGCTGAAGGGTCGGAGTTGCCCACCCTTGCCTTAAAGTGTATCTCTAAGTAAAAGCCTTAGATAGAATGGGGAAGGGGCAGAATGAGGCGGGGACAGGAGGGGCAGCTGCCCCAGAAAAAGGGGTTAAAAGGGGGGGGGGGGGGGAGATG